ACGGCAGGGACACCTGCCACTGTGCCAGGCTGCTCCAGCCCCAGTGTCCAGCCTGGCCCTGGGCACTGCAGGGATGCAGGGGATCTGAGTGGATCCCCTGGGAGCTGCACCTCGTCCCTCTGCCCTCCCCGGAGCTGGCTCGGGCTGGGATGAGGAGAGGGAACACCCGGAGCTGGGTGAGCAGCACCAGAACGGCCAGCTCTCCTCTGGGCAGGAGTTCCCAAATCCAGTTATCCCAAGCCTGGTTGTCCCAGCAGCCATCCCTGTGTGCAGCCGGGGGGAGCCCTGGGGGTGCCCTGGGGGTGCCCTGGGTCCTGGCTCCTCTGAGCCACCAGCAGCTGTTCCCTGTGGGATGGGACCCTGCTGCTCCCAGTGCTGCTCAGGGAACGCAGGCACCGAGTCCCAGACAGAATCCCAGCAATGAGCTGCGGGGCTTTGGCAGCTTTGCCTCGCTGTGGAAATCTCCTGGGATCATGGCATTCCCTGTTCTGCTCCCTCTGTTCTACTCCCCCGTGTCCCTGTTCCCATTCCTGTCACACTCCCTGTCCCCATTCCATCCCCTCCCTGTCCCTGGTCCTGTGCCACTCCATGTCCCTGTTCTATCCTATCCCTGTCCCTGTTCCCTTGTCTCTCCCTGTTCCACCTTCTCCATTTCCCTGGTCCCATGTCCCTCCACATCCCTGTTCCATCCTCTTCCTGTCCCCGTTCCCTTTCCCCTCCATGTCCCTCTTCCCATTCCTGTCACACTCCATGTCCCCATTCCATTCCTTCCCTGTCCCTGTGTCCTTCCATGTCCCTGTCGCACTCTGTGTCCCTGTCCCTCTGCCCCCTTGTCCCTGTGGCTATCTGTGTCCCTGTTCCAGTGTCCCTCCCTGTTCCAGTGTCCCCCTGTTTCTATGCCACTCTGTGTCCCTGTCCATGTGTCTCTCCCTCTCCCTGTGCCCCCGTCCCTGTGTTTCTCCCTGTCCTTGTGCCACTCTGTGTCCCCGTTCCCGTGTCCATCCCTGTCCCTGTGTCCCCCTGTCCCTGTGCCACTCCGTGTCCCTGTTCGTGCCCCTCCCTCTCCCTCTACCACTCTGTGTCCCCGTTCCTGTCCCTGTCCCTGTGTCCCCCTGTCCCTGTGCCACTCTGTGTCCCCGTGTCTGTCCCTGTGTCCCCTGTCCCATTCCCGAGCGCTGTTCCCGTCACCCCTCTGGCAGAGCAGGTCCCTGATCCCCTCCCAGCTCCTCCCGCGCTGTCCCTGCAGGGTCCCTCTGTCCCGTGTCCCTTCCCAGCTGCAGACCCCGGTCCCAGCGCCCCCCGTCGCTGCTGCCAGCCCGGAATGGGGACAGGGAGCCGCTGTGCCCGGGCTGTCCCCGGGCGGTGACAGCGGAGGGCGGAACGCTCCGGGCGCGGCCGGGAGCAGGGATGGGCAGCGCGCAGGGAAGGGAGCCCGAGCCCCGAGCCACGGCCCGGCCGGCACAGGATTGTCCCGGTTCCTCCCTGCGGGACAGCCCCGGGACACCGGGATGGGAACGGGGATGGGATGGGATGGGATGGGGAATGGGGAGGAAGGTGGGAAATGGGGTTGGGAATGGAGATGCAGATGGTCCGGGAGTGGAGGAGGAGATGGGGTGGAGATAAAGGCAGAGATGGAGAAGAAGCAGAGGTCAAAGCACAGGAAAAAAAAGAAGGATACAAAGATGGAGATTAAGATATAAATACAGAGGCAGAAATGAAGATGGAAAGAGAAATGCAGATGGAAACGGAGATGGGTATAAAGGTGGAGGTGGTGGATCCCACCTGGATCCCTGTGCCCTGCAAACTCCCCCCAGAGCCGCGGGAGACACCCCTCCCTGCTGGGCTGCTGCCATGAGCGCCTTTCCTGGGACACCGGGGCTCTGTGCTCCCCTCCACAGCCCCCGGTGTCCCCAATCCGCCCCTGATCCTGCCTGGGGACAGTGGGGACCGGGTTTTCCTTTCCTTTCCTTTCCTTTCCTTTCCTTTCCTTTCCTTTCCTTTCCTTTCCTTTCCATCCCTGCAAAGCTCTTCCCGAGGTCACAGAAGCCCAAATGCCGCGGTGGGTCCTGGATCTTCCTCCCCCTCTCCAGAGCTGTCCCCACCCCTCCATGTCCCCAGATCTGTCCCCAGCGCTCCGCCTCAGCCTCTGCACCTCTCCAAGCTCCCTGATCGCACCTCCACACCTCTCCTTTCCCCCTCTCCATCATTTCATGTCCCCACAGATTCACCTCTCCACCTTTCCGTGTCTCCACAGTTCTGCCTCCATCTCTCCATTTCAGCATCTCTCCACTTCTGCCTTTTCACCTCTCTGTGTCCTTATGTCTCCATGTCTCCCCCTCTCCACGCTGTCACCTCTCCGTGTCCCAACATCTGTCCCCCCTCTCCTCCTCTCCCTCTCACCACCTCTCCATGTCTCTCCGTCTCTCTCGTGTCCATTTCTCCCTCTCCCTGTCTCTTCCCTCTCCCCATCCCTCCTCCTCTCCCTCTCACCACCTCTCCGTGTCTCTCCATCTCTCCCGTGCCCACTTCTCCCTCTCCCCATCCCTCCCCGTCCCCACCTCTCCATTTCACCCTCTCTCCCGCTCTGCTCTCCACGTGCCATCTCTCTTCCTCCCTCCCCGCATCCTCCCCTCCCCACATCTCCCCGGTCCCGTCTCTCCCGTCTCTCCCGCTCCCCTCCCGCCTTTCCCGGTCCCGTTTCCCGGTGCCCGGGGCCGCGCCCGCTCCGCGCCGGGTACGCACGGCCCGGTGCCCGCCTCCGCCGCTTCCCCCGGCCCGCGGGGCTCCCGCGGCTCTCCGGGCGGCTCCGGGGGCTCCTCCCGCGCGGGGCCGTGGTTAATGTGTAATTCGGAGCATATGGTATTTTCCAAAGGCGGGCAGCGGCGCGGAGCCCGGGGGCCGGGGCCGGGGTGCAAATAAGGCTGGATGACTCGCGGGGCCGGGCGCGGAGGGCCACGGTGATGGGCTCCCCGCTGGCTAATATTTGCTCTTCAAATATTTTACTTGAAAGGTTTACAACGTTGTTTTTTTTTTTAATCTTCCAAGAAGGGGCCATCTGTGCCGGTGCCTCGCCTGGAGCACACCGGGGAGTCCCCGCCGGGGCCCAGCCGCCACCCCGGGGGCCGCCTTCTATTTGTTCAGCACCCAAAATAAATTAAATCGATGTAATAAAAGCCAAGCTGGATTTATGATTGAATCCCATATGTCCCTGTTTGTTTTGCGGGAGAGCCGCGGGAGCGAAGCCCCTCGGGGGGCTCGGCCGGGGGCTCCCCGGGGATGCTCCGGGCGCGGGGACGCGGCGGGGCCGTGCTGTCCGCCGGCCGCAGGTGCTGAAACACCGGCGCTGCGCCGGCACCGAGCCCCAGCCCGGCCCGGGGGGCCCCGAGCCCCCACGGAGCCCCCCGGGCCGGGCGTGTGCTGGGCGCGGTCACGTCGGGCCGCCCCTTCCTCCCCGTCCTCCTCTCCCTCCTCGGTGACATCACGGCCCCGCCGCCGGCACTGAGCGCCCGCCCGGCGCCGGGACGGTCCGGTCCAGCTCCCCCAGGCTCCACAGGTACCTCCTTGCCCCTCTCCCGGCGCTCCCGCCCTCCCGAGCGTCTCTCCCTGCGCGTGGAAGCTGCAGGACTTGCTGCAGGAATTGCTGCAGGAGCTGGTGGGGAGCGGGCTTGGACCTGGAGAAGCCCCGGGGTCCCCGGGGGTACCGGCTCTGGCCCGGCCTCGCTGCTCCCCGCCGGCTCGGGGACCGAGCTCATCGCGGCCCCGGGGCTCCGGGCACCATCAGGGGCACCGAGGGCTCGCAGCCCAGTCCCGGGGTTCCCTGGCACCATCGGGGGCTCCGAGGGCTCCCATCCCGGCTTTCCCGGCGCTCCCGGCTCCCCGTGTCTCAGGAAATCCCCGTGTCGCCTGCGGGCACAGCGCGGGCCGAGCCGGGGCGTGCCGGGGGCTGCGCGGCCCCGGGGCTTTCGGGGGTCTCGTGTCCCGCCCGTCCCTCCCGGAGCAGCCCCCGCGCAGCGCCCCGGGCCGTCCGCCCCTCTCCGGGCACAGCTCACGGGATGCGCCCCGGCTCTGCGGGCTGGTCCCTCTTGTCGCGTTTATTTTTCCGAGTTTCCCGAGTTTCCGAGGGTCGGTGTCGCCAAACTCCCTCGGGCTGTGCGGGGAAGTGGCGCGGAGGGGTCTGGGGGCTGTGGCAGCTCGGCCCCAGCCTGGGGGTGCCGGGAGGGGTTCAGGGTGTTCCAGGTGGAGCTGGGGGCTCTGGCAAGGCCGTGGGGGAGCAGCAGCCGCCAGGCTCGGTGGCAGCTCCGCGGCTCCGCTGCTGCTCGGGCAGGAGAGGCGCTGGCACCGCGTCCCTGTGGGAATCCTGCCGGGAAATCCCGTGGAGCCAGGCGGGGAGAGCTGGGGGCGTCCGGCTGGAGACAGAGAGGCTCTGGAGAGAGCTCAGAGCCCCTGGCAGGGCCCAAAGTGGCTTCAGGAGAGCTGCAGAGGGACTGGGGACAAGGGACAAGACCCGGGGAATGGCTGCCGCTGCCAGAGGGCAGCCACGGATGGGATTTTGGCAATGAGGAATTGCTGGCTGGAGGGCGGTGGGCATGGGGGAACCCTCCCTTCCCTGTGGATCCCGGCACCCGGCTGGGCTGGGCTGGGCTGGGCGTGGGGACCCCCCTTTCCCCCGCGGGGTGTCCGGGAGCTCTGCAGGCGCTGGGATGTGGCTCCGTGCCGGTGGCTGCTCGGTGCAGGCAGCACCGGCAGCATCCCCGGTGTCTCCCGAGCCTCTCCAGAGCCCTGTGACCTCTTTCCCGTGTCTTTATCCGCTGTGCCTGGAGCGCAAGAACTTCCCAAAGTGCCCTCATCCCCTGCTCCAAGATTCCTGCCCGTGTCCCTCCTCCTCGCAGCAGGGTCTGGCTGAGCCCTGGACAGCGGCGCTGATTTATCCGGCCCCGCAGCACGCCCCGTGTCCCACGGGGAACTCCCGGGCACGCTCAGCCCCCTGCAGCCTCTCCAGGATGCAGCACCGAGGTGAGGAGCGCGGTGCTCCCGGTGCTCCCGGTGCTCCCGGCGGGGCCCGGGATGTGCCGCGCCGCCGTTCCCTGCTCCGGGAGCCCATTCCCCGCAGCTCCGCAGGGCCCTCCGGCCCCGGGACCATCCAGCCCCCAGCCTGTCACCCCCCTCCCCAAATTCTCCCCGTGCTCTTCCAGGGGGTGTTTTCCTGCTTGCTGGGCCGGCGCCCCATTCCCTGCCTGCACCCACCCCCAGCACCCCGCGTCCCCCTGCCCAGCCCTGCAGCCCCCTCAGCTCCCCCTGCCCAGCCCTGCAGCCCCCTCAGCTCCCCCTGCCCAGCCCTGCAGCACCCTCAGCTCCCCCTGCCCAGCCCTGCAGCCCCCCCAGCTGGCCCCGTCCCCCTCCGCAGGGCCCAGCGGGGTGAACCAGCTCGGGGGGCTCTTCCTGAACGGCCGCCCCCTCCCCACGTGCAAGAGGCAGAGGATCATCGCGCTGGCGGCCAGCGGCGCCCGCAGCTCCGACATCTCCCGCAGCCTCAAGGTGCGCCCGGCCGGGGGCTGGGGGGTCTCCCGCCCCTCCCGAGCCCTCCCGGAGCTGAAGTTCCGTCCGCAGGTGTCCAACGGCTGCGTCAGCAAAATCCTGGGCCGCTACTACCGCACGGGGGCCGTGGGGCCCAGGGCGGCGCGGGGCCGCCAGCCCCGCACGGCCACCCCCGCCGTGGTGGCCAGCATCGCGCGCATGAAGCGCGAGCAGCCCGGGCTCTTCGCCTGGCAGATCCGGCGGCGGCTGCACGCCGAGGGAAGCTGCGCCAGCGGCGGCATCCCCAGCGTGAGTCCGGCCGGGACCCCGGGAACAGCGGGACAGGCGGGGCGGGGGCGGCCGGGGGGCGAATGGGAATGGGAATGGGAATGGGAATGGGAATGGGAATGGGAATGGGAATGGGAATGGAGCAAAGGGAGGGCTCGGGAATGGGAATGGGAATGGGGCACTCCGCAGTGAAGGGCTCGGGAATGGGAATGGGGCACAGGGAGGGCTCGGGAATGGGAATGGGAATGGAGCAAAGGGAGGGCTTGGGAACGGGAATGGGGCACGGGGAGGGCTCGGGAATGGGAAGGAGCCACAGGGAAGGGCTCGGCGCCTGGTGAGACGCGGGGCTGCAGCGGGCGGGGAGGGGAAGGCAGATCGCTCCCTCCCGGCGGCAGCAGAGCCCCCAGCCCGAGCCCGGCCGCCCCCTCGGGTCGGACACGGCGGTGGCTCCGTGAGAGGTGTCTCTGCGGGCGGGGAGCGCTGTGCTTCCCCAGGACAGACCCGCCCTGCCATGCCCCGCACGCCAGCCGCCCCCCGTTAGAGCCTGTCGGTGCCCGGGATTGCGGGTCCTGCATCCCAACCCGGGACAATCCCCGGCTCCGGAGAGCACCCCAGAGCCAGCTCCGGGACCTCCGCCTCCATCCCGCCCCCCCGCAGCCCGGGGGTCCCGTCCCCTGCCGGCACATCCCCTCTCCCTGCCCAGGTCTCCTCCATCAACCGCGTGCTCCGGACCCTGCCCAGCGACCTGCGGCTGGCGGCCGAGCCCCGGGACCCGCGGCCTCGGGGTGAGCCTGGCCCCAAAGCCCGGACGCCCCCCGGGCCCCCCCGGCCCCGGGTGCGCCCCCAGCCGCTGCCCTTGTGTCCCCGCAGTGTCCCCCGCGGCCCCGGGGAGCCCGGAGCGCCCGGGAGGCACCGGGGGCGGTGGCAGGAGCCGGACCGTGTTCTCCCGGCAGCAGCAGGAGGCTCTGGAGGAAGGTGCGGGGCTGCTCGGGGGGGGATGGCGCTCGTGTCCCGGGGGGCGGCCCGACCATCGCCGCGGGGCCCCAAAGCTCCCCAGAGCCCCCCAAAGCTCCCCAGAACACCCCAAAGCTCCCCAGAGTACCCCAACCCACCCCAGAACACCCCAAACCGCCCCAAACCATCCCAGAGCACCCCAAACCATCCCAGAGCACCCCAAACCATCCCAGAACACCACAAACCACCCCAAAGCTCCCTTGAGCACCCCAGAACACCCCAAACCACCCCCAACCACCCCAACCCAACCCAAAGCACCCCAAACCTCCCCAGAGTACCCCAACACACCCTAACCCACCCCAGAACACCCCAGAGCACCGCAGAGCACCGCAGAGCACCCCCGCGATCCCCCAACCAACCCAACCCACCCCAACCCGCCCCAGCTCTCGGGCCGCGCTCCCGCCCCGGTGCCGGGGGGCTGCCCCGCTGCCCCCCCCGACCCCGCTGTCCCCGCAGCGTTCCGCAGGGGACAGTACCCGGACAGCGCCACCCGCGAGCGCCTGGCCGCGGCCACCCAGCTCCCCGAGACCACCGTCAGGGTAAGGGGGACCCGCCTGGCCCCGGAGGGACCCCCGGAGGGGCCGCGGGGCCGCCAGCCCGGGCACAGGGAGCCCTGCAGCCTTGGGGACATCCCCGGACGTGTCACCGCTGTTGGCCTCGGGGCTGGGACGGGCTCCGGGTGGTGCGAGAGGCTCCCCGGGGGGGGTTGTCCTGGCTCGGGGGTGTCTCCATGGCACACCTGGCACACTCCCTGGCACATTTCATAGCACACCCCATGGCACACTCCATGGTACATTTCATGGCACACTCCCTGGCACAGCTGGCACACTCCCTGGCACACTCCCTGGCACAGCTGGCACACACCGCTCACACGTTCCCCCCACATCCCCGTGCCCTGCCGAGCCTCCCCCGGGACACGGCAGCCCCTTCCCCTGCAGCCCCGACCACTGCCGGCCTCTGCGTGCCCGGGCAGTGCCAGCAGCGAGCCCGCCGTGCCAGGGCAGCGCTGCCGCCCGCGGGCACCCCGGGCAGCAGGCAGGGCACACCCGAGAGCGGCCGCGAGGGGCCCGTGCCCGGGGCCGGGGGCACGCCCGGAGCCTGCAGTGTGCTGCCGGCCCGTGAGTGGGGAGATCAAAGCCTTCCTCTGCCCGGGACCGTGCCCACTGTCCCTGCCCATGCCCCGTTTGGGATCAAAGCCTTCCTCTGCCCAGGACCGTGCCCACTGTCCCTGCCCATGCCCCGTTTGGGATCAAAGCCTTCCTCTGCCCAGGACCAAACCCTTTCCCCAGCCCATGCTCATGCTCATGCCGGGCATCCGGGCACGGGCATCCTCTTGCCCAGGGCCGTGCCCATGTCCGGGATGGAGCCCCCTCTCTGCCCGTGACCCTGTCGCTCCCGGGCTGTCACCAGCCTCCCGGGGCTCAGAGCTGTGCCGGGGGGCGCGGGGCGGGCGGGGGGCGGCAGCCTCAGCTCCCCCCCTCCCCAGGTGTGGTTCTCGAACCGCCGGGCCAAGTGGCGACGCGAGAGCAAGCGGCAGCTGGAGGCGGGCGGCGCAGGTGACAGCCGGGGACCGAGGGCACGGGGCGTGGGACAGGCTGCCCGAGGAGGGGCTGCGGCCCTGGGGCGTCCCTGGGTGGGAGCGCGGCTGACATTTGGGGCTGGGACCCCGGGGATTGCTTCCGCCGGGAGCTGGGGAAAGGACACGGTGCACCCGGTGCGCCCCGGTGAGCTGGGGAAAGGACACGGTGCACCCTGTGCGCCCCGGTGAGCCGAGCCCGCACATTGTCCCCGCCGTGTCCCCGCAGGCTCCTGGAGCGACTGGATGCCGCCCGCTGCCGCCGCCGCCCGGGTAGGACATGGCCGGTGGCGGGGTGCCGGGGACACCCCGAGAGCTCGGGCACGCTCGGAGCCCGTGCTGCCCTCGGGAGCCGTGTCTGCAGCGTGCCGGCTCCCCTCGGGGTGACCCCGGCTCAGCCCCGACACGGCGCTCTCTGGTCCGCAGCAGCCCCTCCCGGACACCCCCGCGGGCTCGGGGCAGCCCCCGCCCGGCCCCGCCGCCCGCCCGCGCCCCGCGGCCCCGCTGCACCTCTGCGCCTCCGGGCCCTGCGCCTGGGACGACGCTTGCTGCGGTACGAGCTGCCCACCGCGGCCTCGGGGGCTGGGGGTCCCCCGGGTGCCCCCTGCCAGGGCGATGCCTGAGCCCCGCGTCCGTCCCGCAGGTCTGGCTGCCGGCGGGACCCCCGTCCCCGCGCCCTGGGGGGCTCTGGAGAGCTCCCCCTTCGCCCTGCTGCCCCCCGGGCTCCCCCCGCTGCCAGCCTGGGGCCTGGAGCCGCGCTGAGCCCCGGTGCCACCGAGGAGCCCCCCGAGCCCCCCAGCCGCCCCCCGCGCCGGGGCAGCTCTGCGGAGCCGCGATCCCGCCGGAGCAGAAGGAATGTCCCGGCTCCAGGATCCCAGCGGGGACCGAGGGCACAGCCGGGGATGGCACCGGGTCCCGCGCCTCAGGCAGGAGCTGGTGGCAGAGGGGACAGCCTGGGTGGCCGCGGCAGCTCAGCGGCACCTCCCGCGGCTCCGCGTCCCCCGGGGCTCCGGGCCCGCTCCGTTATTAAACCGCTTTTCCCCTCCGCCCCGGCTCCTCCGCGTCCCCTCCGAGCCGGGCCAGCCCCGCTCGCTCTCCCTCCCGGCCCCTCCCGGCCCGGGCGGCGGAACGCGCACAGACCGCGCTGCTGGGAAGCACGAACAGCGTTATTTCAACAGCGAACGGGAGCGCGGCACGGGGGGCGGCAGGGCAGGGCCGGCGGGCGCCGAGCGGCCCCGGGCCCCGCGCTGGCACCGAGCCGGGACGAGCGGGCCGGGGCCGCCCTCTGCAGCCAGGAGCGCGTCCGCCCCGCCGCCTCAGCCCAGCTGATCCTTCAGGAACTGCAGGAAGTCCCTGAGCAGGTTGCAGAACTGCACCAGGCTCTGGTACGGCACCGAGATCAGCAGAAGCCTGTCCGGTTCCGGTTCTGGTGCTGGTGTGGGCACCGGCTCCTCGGGCATGGAGGGGATGGATGGCTCCAGCTCCGGCTCCAGCTCCGGCTCCGGCTCTGGCTCAGGCTCCGGCTCAGGCTCTGGCGTCAGCTCTGGCAGTGGCGTCGGCTCTGGAATCGGCACCGGTTCTGGCGTTGCCTCTGGCTCTGATGTCGGCTCTGGCATCGGCGTCGGCTCTGGCATCGGCGTCGGCTCTGGAATCGGCACCGGTTCTGGCGTTGCCTCTGGCCCTGTCGTTGGCCCTGTCGTTGGCCCTGTCGTTGGCTCTGGTGTTGGCTCTGGCGTCGGCTCTGGTGTCAGCTCTGGCACCGGCACTGGCGTGGGGTCTGGCACCAGCTCTGGCTCTGGGCTTGGCTGTGGCTCTGTCGTCGGCTCTGGTGTCGGCTCTGTTACCGGCTCCGGCTCTGGAGTCAGCTTCAGCTCCGGCACCAGCTCTGGCGTCGGCTCTGGCACTGGTGTTGGCTTTGTTTCTGCCTCCTGTTCTGGCCCTGGCGTCGGGCTCTCCGCAGAAGCCGTGGTGACCCCTGGCTTAGGAGTCGGGGCGCAGTTCAGCTTCGGTGCTGGGCCGGTTACATCTGCGGGGCTCAGGCCCGTCTGGATCAGGATCCAGTTGTAGAAGTGCTGAGTGGAGGTGTAGATCCCGGGGTGCCTGGCTCTGTCACAGCCTCTTCCCCAGCTGTTCAATCCCACCAGCCAGTAGTAGTCAGCTCTGTTGTCCTTGCAGACGAGGGGATTGCCACTGTCCCCCTGTGCCAGGAGAGATGGCTCAGGGACTGTGGGGGCTGCTGCCAGCCCCGGGGCTGGCCCCTCTCCCAGCCCTGGGTCTGGCTCCTCTCCCCCAATCCCGGGGCTGGCTGCTCTCCTCCAGTCCCTGCCAGGTCCACATTCCCAGCACAGGTCGGGGGCTCTCCCATCTCTGCACGTGGGTCCCAGATGTGCGGAGGATGGATGTTCCAGGGTCACATCCACACTTTGGGTCTGCTGGGGCTGCTGGATGGGCATTGTGGGCAGGAGCAGGCCTTGGGGACAAGGGGACATAGGACAGGGACCCGCAGGTGAGGGGTGGACATGGCACAGGCTGGGCTGCCTACCTGGCAGGTGTCGATGCCGCCGTGCGGGTACCCAGCACACAGGTTGTCAGCATGAATGGCCCCCGCGTACCACCGGCTGCTGTTGCAGAGCTCCCTGTCCATGAGGTGGACCTTGGAGTCCCGCAGCACCATGCCTGTTCCCGGAACCATGGGAATGAGTCTCAGCAGCTCAGTACCCATCCCCTTCCCTTCCTGGACCTGGTTCTGCCCCTTCCCCACGGAGCGATGCTGTCCCGCTGTGTCCCTGCTGCTGGCCTGGGGAAGGGGCCAGACCCGTCCCTCCCGAGGCTTCCCAGGGCCAGCAGGAATTGTTTGGGTGAGCAGGGAGCTCACAGCTCATCCCGCTGCAGCACCATGCCCTCCCCGGGAATGGAGCCCTTGCCCAGCCCGGGCTGCTCCGAGCCCGGCCCCGCTGCCGCCCCGCGGCCGGACTCTGTCTGTGCCCGGCCCGTGTCCCCGGGGCTCGCCCTCGGAGCACACATCCTGCTGGGAACTCACCTCTGGCAAAGTTCCAGCCGGCGATGTAGCAGGATTTCAGCTCCGAGACCCTGAGCGAGGCGTCGGGCACGCAGCCCAGCTGGATGTAGTCGCTGCACTCCACGGGCTGGTCCAGCTCCACCAGGGCAATGTCGTTCCTGGCCGTGGCAGGCACGTAGTGCTGGTGCACCAGGAGCCTCTGGATGCGTCTCACTGCAGCCTCGGGACCCGGCTGGCTCAGATCTGTGGCTCCTATCACCACATCCCACGTGGAGATGCCCCTGGGGAGCAGATGGACAGAGGGCTGACAGGGAGCAGAGCCAGGGGCTGCAGCAGCCCAGCATTTCCCGGCCTTCTGCTTGCCCAGGTGGGCAGGGAAGCGGCCCGTGGTGCTGTGAGCTGGGCACCTGCCCGTGCTCTGGGGACATCTCTGTCCCTGCTGTCTCTTACCCGGCCCTGGCGAAGCAGTGTGCCACCGTGAGCACCCACTGGGAGCTGAGGAGGACACCTGAGCACATGTGCCACGTGCCGTTCTCCCAGGTGGCCTGGATGCTGACGATGCCGGGCCAGGCCCCTGGCTGGACACTGCTGCCATCCACACGGGCCGTGCCAGCAGCAGAGCCGTGGTCGGAATCCAAGGGCCGCAGCCCGCAGGTGCCTCTGGAAGCACAAAGGGGAGGGGCAGCTCGGGGTCACAGAGACCCCCGTGGAATGGTCTGGGGGCTGCCCTGGAGCACCAGCACGGGTGAGACTGGTGGGCACCGGGCTGGGCACGAGCAGCTGGAGCAGCCCTGGAGAAGGATTTGGGGGTGCAGGGGGTGGGAGCTGCACCTGACCCAGCCCGGAGCCCCCAGCCCTGGGCTGGGCCCAGTGGGCAGCAGGGCAGGGGGATCCTGCCAGAAGACAGAATGCTAATTAATGAAAGAGGGTTTTATGTAATTAAGAAACAATGAACGTTCATTTCTCTGTTGGCTCAGAAGGTACAAACGGGTGACAAAGGCACGAACGGGTGACAAAGGCACAAACGGGTGACAAAGGCACGAACGGGTGACAAAGGCACAAACGGGTGACAAAGGTGACAAAGTTTTGTCCCGGGGTCTCTGTGGAGGCCGGGGTTGTGCCGAGGACAGGGCAGGGCCGGGCTCACGGAGCTGGAACACTCGGCTCCAGGTTTGTTTATCCCGGGGCTCCGGGGGGCTCCGGCCACGAGCAGCCCCGGGCCAGCCCGGCAGGGGACAGCGGGGACAGAACCCGGCCGAGGTGGCACTGCCAGGGGCGGCTCGGCCAGAGCCCAGGGCACCCCAGCTCCTCCCCAGCGTCACCCGGGACAGCTGTCCCCCCCCGGCTGGGGGACAGCCACCGCCCTGGGGACAGCGCAGGACGGGGCGCGACACTGCTCCTGCCCGCGGCGGTGACACTGCTCGGGGCCACCCCCTGCCCCGGGCTCCGAGACCCCCGCGGGGCGACAGGGGGGGACACGGGGGGACACGGGGGACATGGGGGAAACACGGAGGGACAGAGGGACATGGGGGACATGGAGGGACACGGGGGGAGCACGGAGGGGACACGGAGGAACACGGGAACACGAGGGACACGGAGGGACATGGAGGGACATGGGGGACACGGGGGGAGCACGGAGGGGACACGGATGACACAGAGGGACACGGATGACATGGAGGGACACGGGGGGACACGGGGGGACACGAGGGGACACGAGGCACTCCAGGGGCACAGGGGACCGCCCTGCTGTCACCGCCGCGTGGTGCCGGGCCGAAGGCCACGCCCCGCATGCAGACCACGCCCACATCTATGACCACGCCCCATGGGGGACACCGCCGTCCTTCGCGGCCAGGCCACGCCCCCGAGCCATCAAACCACGCCCCCATCGAGCGGACCACGCCCACGCCTCGCTCCACGTCGCGCGCTGAGACCACGCCCCTTGTGGCAGAAGCCACGCCCACATCCCCGAGCAGCACGCGCGCACGGCCCCGCCCCACGCCGTAGCCACGCCCACATATCGCCTTATTTGGGGCGTGGCACCGCCTCTCCCGTGACACGTCCCTTCGCCCTGCCCCTCCGGCGGCTTCCGGCGGAAGTGGCGGCGCAGCGGAACCGGCCGGAGCTGAGGGGGCTCCGGGGCCCGGGGCGGTGAGCGCGGCGGGGCCGGGCACGGCGGGGCCGGGGACCGGGCTGGGCGTGGGGATGGCCCCGAGGGCGTGACGGAGAGGGACCCGGGTGCCGTCCGGGGGGTCACGGTGGCCCTGGGGGTCGGGATGGGGTCTGGGGGGTCCTGAGGGCTCAGGGAGGTCCTGAGGGGGTGACAGTGGAGGGGCCAGGGGGGGCCGGGGGGGCAGCATGGGGGTCCCAGGAGGGGTCAGGAAGGGGTCCTGGGGCGGGGTTCAGAGTGGCGCCCCGGGGCAGGGTCCTGTCCTGGGGGTCCCGGGGGTCCCGGGGTCTCAGGACGGCGGTCCCGGGCAGGGCGGTGTTTGTGGTGCTCACTGCCCGTCTGGTGTCCCGCCAGGCCCCGGGCGGTGCTGCTGCCCGTGCCAAGGGTGCCCTTTGCCCCTGCCCTGCTGCCCCCAGGCCGCCCCGCCATGGAGAAGTTCGGGATGAGCTTCGGGGGCGGCCCCAGCCGGAAGGAGCTGCTGGAGACCGTGGAGACGCAGAAGCAGCAGCTGCTGCGCTTCCAGGCGCGCCTCAAGGACGTGGTGAGCGCCTACAAGAGCCTGCTGAAGGAGAAGGAGGCGCTGGAGGCCAGCCTGAAGGCGCTCTCCGCGGCCCCCCACGGGGACCCGGCGCCGCCCGCCGCCGGGGACTGCCCGGACGAGCAGGGCTCGGAGCACAGCGAGGACAGCGCGGGCACGGCCGAAACCGCGGCCAGCCTGGGCAGCGCCAGGGGGGACGAGGAGGACAGGGGGCACTCCCAGCGGGCCGAGGAGGCGGGCGGCGCCGAGGGCGCGGAGCTGTGCGCCGCCGGCGAGCCCGAGCGGCGGCTGCAGCAGCTGCGGGCGCAGCTGGGCACGCTGACGGGCGCGCTGGCCACGGTGACGCGGGAGAAGTCGCGCATGGAGGCCTCGTACCAGGCGGAGCGGCGGCAGATGCGGCAGGAGCTGGAGGAGCTGCAGGAGCAGCTGGCGCGGGGCCGCGCCCGCCTGGCCGCGCAGCAGCGCGAGCGCGAGCGCGAGCAGGGCGACCACGGGCTGATGCTGCGCGAGCTGCAGGAGCTGCTCCCGGGCCACGAGCAGCACTGCCGGCAGCTGAGCCAGGAGCTGGAGGAGCTGCGCCGCGAGCTGCAGGGCGCGCGCGACGAGGGCGGCAGGGCCGACCCGCGCGTCCAGGAGCTGCAGGAGGAGATGGCCGGCCTCAAGAACCACTTCCAGCTGCAGCTGGTGCAGGAGATGAAGAAGGTGAGTGCTGGATGGGAACGAGGGGGGTGTCCAGGGACTGGGGCTAGAGGAGCCAAATTCCCTCTCCTGGTCTCTGAGTCCAAAGTATCCTGGCTTGGATTGATAGGATGACAAACTGGGGAACAGCTCTCTGTGGGATGTATCCAGGGAGTGGGGCCGACAGAGTCAAATTCCCTTTCCCAGTCCCTCAGATTCCAGGAGGTTCAAAAGAAGTGGCACGGGGTGCCCAGAGCAGCTGGGGCTGCCCCTGCATCCCTGCAGTGCCCAAGGCCAGGCTGGACACTGGGGCTGGAGCAGCCTGGCACAGTGGCAGGTGTCCCTGCCATGGCAGGGTGGCACTGGGGGGCTCTGGGGTCCCTTCCCACCCAACCCATTCCAGGATTTCAAATACACAAATCCCCTAAAAGCCAGGACAGGGAGGTTCTCAGGCAGGATTCCCAGGGTGGGGAAGGTTTGGAGCAGAGCAGGGTCCCCGTGCGACCCCAGGTGTGTCCCCCTGTGTCCCCGTGCTCCCTAACCCCGCCGTGTCCCCGCACAGACAGCCCAGGCCGAGGAGCAGCTGCGGCAGCGCTCGCAGCGGGAGGAGCAGCGCGTGGCCGAGCTGGAGGCCCAGGTGTCCCAGGTGTCCGAGCTGCTGGGCACCTACGAGAAGGCCAAGCAGAGGGACCAGGGCACCATCCAGAGGCTCAAGGAGCGCATCGCGCAGCTGGACCTGGAGAACAAGACCTTGGCCATCGCCGCCTCCAGCCGCTCGCTGGGCGAGGCGGCCGTGGAGGAGGCCACCCTGGACGTGAGCGCGCTCAAGGAGAAGATGGAGAAGCTGCGGAAGCTGCTGCAGGCGGCGACCGAGAAGGGCCCGGCGGGGCCGGAGGCGGAGGAGCCGCAGGAGGAGCCGGAGCCGTCCCCGGGCGGCGGGGACGGGAACGGGGACAAGGCCCCGGGCGGGCACTGCCAGCAGGAGCTGAGGCAGCTCAAGGAGGAGTTCGAGCGCTACAAGGTGCGGGCGCAGCAGGTGCTCAAGAGCAAGGCCAGCAAGGACGTGGGCCTGGCCAAGGAGCTGGAGGAGGCGCGGGAGCAGCTGGCGGAGCTCCAGGACAAGCACGTGCTGCTGCAGCTGGCCGCGGACGAGGCGGAGCAGCAGCACCGGCGGGAGCTGGAGGCCGGCAAGCAGGAGCTGTCCCAGCTGCAGCAGCGGCACCGGCAGGAGCTGGAGCGCTGCCAGCTGCAGTTCCGGGAGCGGGCGCTGCGGCTGGAGGAGGAGCTGCACAAGCAGCGGGACCGCGCGCTGGCCGTGCTGGCCGAGAAGGACCGGGAGCTGGAGCAGCTCCGCGCCCTGGCGCTGCCCCACGGCCCCCAGGGCTGCCGGGACGGCGGCCCCGGCGACGCCGCGGGCCAGGACTGCGCGGAGATCCTGCCGCAGGCGCTGCAGCCGGGCACGGGCTCCGAGCCCACCTTCCTCCTGTACGCGGAGCAGCTGGCGCGCAAGGAGGTGGAGATCGCGGCGCTGCGCAAGCACAAGCACCGGCTGGAGGTGCAGCTGCACCAGCTCCAGGGCTGGGCCCTGGCCGAGGAGGACAAGCACCGGGAGGAGGTGGCGGCGCTGCGGGGCGAGATCCAGAAGAGCTGCCGGGATAAGAGCAGGGAGGGAGCCAACCTGGAGTACCTGAAGAACGTGGTGTACCGGTTCCTGACGCTGCCCGACGCGCGGGGCCGGCAGCAGACGCTCACGGCCATCCTGGCCATCCTGCACTTCAGCCCCGAGGAGAAGCTGAGCATCGCCAAGAGCTCGGCCCACGGCTCCTGGTGGCTGCATGGGAAGAGATGAGGGGTGGGTTTCATCCCTTTCCCGTAAGAGCTCCTTCCCGAGGACTGACCAAAACCTCATCCCAGCCACACCCACATCTCTGAGGGTTTGGGCTCCACTTGGTGTTCTTAGCACTAATTTGCAGTGAGGTTGTGCCAACTTTTCCAGCCCCAAAGCCTCCGTGGTGGGAATTTGCTTCAAGTTGAGACTTGATTTGAAAACCATGGAATTGAAGGTGCTGAGGTTTTTTAAGGGTGATTTAAAAGCAGTCCCTACCTGTCAGGCGTGGCATCGAGTGGAATTCACTTGGATCTTCAAGCTCCAGCCAGGCTGGTGACTCAGGAGATGAAAGGGAAGGTGGGAAGCACTTTAGGTGGAGCTAAAATAGCACCAGGCCATGGAAAGCTCAGGAAGATGGGGCTCAGTGCAGGAAGTCTTGGGCATTTCCCCCTAAGGTTCTTTTCCAGAGCCTAATTTAACCAGTGGATGCAGCTCCAGGCTCATCCAGGGCTCAGGCTCTCCTTCCTTCCCAGGGATCCTCTCTGGGTTATCAGGGATTCTAGGAAGGAGAAAGGATCTCCCTGTGGATGATTCCCATCCTGAGGGTGTTGTTTTCCTGCCCCACCCTTGGAATTAAATCCCGGCTGCTAAAGCTAGGCCCACAGACAGGGATGGGTCTGGATTAACACCCCGGGGGTCCTGGAGCCCAGTCAGGAGCAGGTTTGGGAGCAGCTCCTGGTGCTGCACTGCCCAGGGAGCCTTGGGAGGGATCAGCCACTCCTGGCACTGCCAGGGACAAGGACAGGGACATGGAACTTCCCTCCTTTCCTCCTTGGCTGTCCTGGTCCTGGATTCCACTCTGGCCAGTGCAGCCCTTGGTGCCAATTTCTCCTCAAGAAAATCCTCAGGGAAACGTGCCCCGGGCAGAGCCTGTCCCTGCTGGGAGGGGCCACAGCTGGGGGGTGTTCCCTCCATCCAGGGATGTTCCCACCAGGATCCAGGTGCTCCCTGATGGGAGAGTTGGTCCCAGGAATGTTTGAAACGCTCCCTAAGGATGGAAGTGCTGGCCCAGCCAGGGGAGAGCCCATCCCTGCTCCCAGTTTGGAGCTGTTGAATCAAGGGCTGCCTCTGGAGTGGCAGGGGTGGCTCCAACTCTCCCTGGAGCCATTCTCACACCTCCAGGGGGAGGTGGAGCCTCCTCCTGCTCAGGCTGAGGGGATGGGTCCCTGTTCTCCCTCTGCTCCTGCAGGATGGAGTGACCTGGAATGGACCCCGGGGGTGGTGGGGACCCAGCTGGGCAGAGGAGAGGGGTGGGACCCAGCTGGGAGCACAGCCTGGAGCAGGGAATGGGTGAGGGATCCAGCTGGGAGAGCAGAGAATGGGTGAGGGATCCAGTGAGAGAGCAGGGAATGGGTGAGGGATCCCTGGGAGAGCAGGAATCAGTGAGGGATCCAGCTGGGAGAGCAGGGACAAGAGGGGATCCAGCTGGGAGGACCTGGATCATCCCAGTGCCCTCTGTCTGTCCCTGGCAGAGGAAGAGGAGGGAGCATCTGCAGGAGTGCCCAGCTCCGTGTCACTGTCACCCTCCTGCAGCTCCCCGTGCCATTCCTTCCTCTGCTCCTCCTTCCCTCGGACCCTCCCCCACATTCCTCCCTCCCTCTCCCCTCTCTCCCTTCAGCCAATATCCCTGAAATAAAGGTAAAATTCCTGTTTGAGGGGATTCTGGTGGCTCCTGGGGGCGGGATGGACGTTGCTTGGGGATTTTTGCTGGCTATTGGAACATCCTTGGGTTTAAAATTATCACAAAATTGTTAAATCCCGTGATTTCCAGAGGTTCCTGGGTGTGTGAGAACGGGAATGGTTCATTCCTGCACCTGCAGTCATGGTGTGGCAGCTGAGGGGAAGCACAGGAGCCTGGCACTGAGAATCCTGAGATGGGTTTGGGTGGGAAGGGACCCCAAATCCCCCTGCAGTGCCACCCTGCCACGGCAGGGACACCTGCCACTGTGCCAGGCTGCTCCAGCCCCAGTGTCCAGCCTGGCCCTGGGCACTGCCAGGGATGCAGGGGCAGCCCCAGCTGCTCTGGCAATTCCAGCCCAGCCAGCAATTCCTCATTGCCAACATCCCATCCATGGCTGCCCTCTGGCACTGGCAGCCATTCCCCGTGTCCTGTCCCTTGTCCCCAGTCCCTCTGCAGCTCTCCTGGAGCCCCTCTGGGCCCTGCCAGGGGCTCTGAGCTCTCCCTGGATCCTTCTCCTGTCCAGGTGAGCCCCCCCAGCTCTCCCAGGCTGGATCCCTGGGAGCTGAGGGGCTGCAGCCCTGGAGCAGCTCCGGGCTCTCTCTGGGCTCTGCAGCAGCACGAGGAGCTCCCGGCTGCTCTCCCGGCGCTGTTCCCTCATTCCCGGTGTGCCCGGGGCCATCCGGGCGCTCATTCGGGCTCTCCCGTGCCTGGGGCTGGTCCCTCCCCGCTCCCGCTGCTGCTCCGGGAGCTCCAGCCCGGCCGGGCAGGTTCCTCCGGCTGTGCCGCGGCCGTGTCCCACGGCTGGGCGTGGAGCGAGCCGGGCAGCAGCGGGAGCCGCTTCCATCCGTCCATCCATCCATCCATCCCGGGCTGCGGGCATGGCCGAGGCGCAGGAGCAGCCCCCGGCGCTCTCGGATGTCCAGGTGAGGGCCGGGAGAGGCTCACTGAGCTCTGCCTTTCCTAATCCTGCCCCAACAAATCCTGCCATGGGGATCTGGGCCGGCGCTTTGGCCACCGGCCCGGGGTGGCACGGCCCCCCGCGAGGGAGGGTGACACCGGCAGGGCTTTCCCGGCCCCCTGCCCGGCTCTTCCCGGCCCCCTGCCCGGCTCTTCCCGGCCCCCTGCCCGGCTCTTCCCGGCGCACTCCCGGGCCCGGCTCCCAGCGCGGCCGCGGGCGGGACGCGGCTCCTCGGCGCTCCCCAGCCCCGGGTGAGGGAAACCCGGGAGGAGATCCCAGCGGGAAAACTCGGGAGGAGAAAGCAGGGAAGCCCCGCCACGTGCAGCCACGGCCGAGGGGCGGCTGAGGAGCCAAACTGCGCCTCCACTACCCCGAAACGCTTTTCCTGGGCACGGCTTCGGCCAGGGACGCCAAGGGACAGAGTCCGGCCGTGCCCAGGGTCCCCCATCCCACTCCCCGTGGGGCTCGGGGTGGCCCCGCTCCCTCCGTGCCTCCCGCAGGTCCTGGTGCTCACGGGCGTCACCCTCCCGGCCGCGCTGCTCAGGTGGGTGCTGTCCCTGTCCCCTGCCCTGGGCTGGCACCTGGGGGTGGCAGCGGCTCCGCCGGGACATTCATCACCCGCCCCGTCCCCTGCAGCCTCCTGGGCAGCGCATCCGTCCTCGCTGTCACCTCCTGGCAGGGGCGCTGCTGCCACATCCAGGTGAGTGCCCCCGGCTTGTGGCAGTGTCACTGCTGCCACATCCAGGTGAGTGCCACCAGCTTGTGGCGGTGTCACTGCTGCCACATCCAGGTGAGTGCCGCCGGCTTGTGGCAGTGTCACTGCTGCCACATCCAGGTGAGTGCCACCAGCTTGTGGCGGTGTCACTGCTGCCGCATCCAGGTGAGTGCCCCCGGCTCCCAGGGAGACAGGGCTGGGTCTGGCCCCAGCTAAGCCCGAGTTTAAACCGGGTTTGAAGCCCCGGGCGGGGGGCAGGAGGTGCAGGATGCCCAGCACCCGGCACTCGGCCCGGCCCCCGGGAGCTGCCGGGGGCTGCTGCCAGCAGAGCTAACGCTGTCCCTGTCCCCAGCTGCGCCCCCTGTTCCTCCTGGCGCTGGCAGATCTCCTGGGTGCCACCGCGCTGCTGGGCACGGGAACCATCCCGCTGCTGCCCGCGCCGCTCGCCGTGCCCGCCTACGCCGCCTGTCCCTACGGGCGGATGCTGACCACGGTACGGGGACCCTGCTGGGGACAGCTGGGCCCTGGCTGCGGCTGGAGAGCCCTGGGGACACTGTCCTGGGGTCCCCTCCTGGGGTGGGCACCGGGACAGGTCTGCGGGGCCGCGTGTGGAGCACCAGGAGGGAGCGGAGGGGGCACCGGGGGCACAGGGAAGGTGGAAGGTGCCCTGGCTGGACACAGAAGCATCCCCGCTCCTTTTCCCTCTCCTCTCCATTTCCCAGACCTCCTTCGCCGTCTCCTTCCTCATGGTCGTTGTTTACGCGTTCGAGTCGCACCGCGCCGTCCTCGGGGGGCGAGCCCGGCCCCCGGCAGCGCTGCAGGTCCGCGCCTCGCCCTGGCACAGCCGGGATCGCCCTGGCACAGCCGGGATCGCCCTGGCACAGCCGGGATCGCCCTGGCACAGCCGGGATCGCCCTGGCACAGCCGGGAATCGCCCTGGCACAGCCGGGATCGCCCTGGCACAGCCGGGATCGCCCTGGCCGGCACGGCGCCGGCAGGACCCGGGAGCAGCGGGGCGGTCCGGGGCAGCTCCTTTACCAGGAATTCGGGGTTCCCGGTCCTGGCGGAGCGGGGGGGACCCTCGGCTGCGGCCGCCCCTCCAGCCCCGGCTCACGGCGTTGTCCCGCAGGAGCGGAGCCGCTGCCTGGAGAGCGCCTGGCAGGGAATTCCCTACGTGCTGGCCTGGTAGGTGCCCGCAGCCGGGCTGGCCCGGGGCTCTCCCCTCGCTCCCGTCCCTTCCCCAGCCTGGCCCGGTGCTCTCCCCTCGCTCCCGTCCCTTCTCCAGCCTGGCCCGGGGCTCTCCCCTCGCCCCCGGGGGGCTCCCCTCGCTCCCGTCCCCTCCCCAGGCTGCTGCCGGCGCTGACGCTCCTGGCTCAGCTGCTCTCCCGCGGCACCTCCGCCGCCGACATCGCGCCCGTGGTGCCCTGGCCCGGCTCCAACGCCACCTTCAGCCTTTACTGCTCCAGGTACGGCCCCCCCTGCCCGGGGCACCGCTGCAGCCCCCGGGGACGCCGGGGGAGGCTCCGGGCCCTGCAGCTCCGCTCTGTCCCTGCAGCTGCCTCCTCCTGATCCACCCGAACCGGGACATCTGCTCCCAGGTGGGCGCTGCCCCCCACCCTCCCTGCGGGCCGGGGGGCTCCGGGGCCGCGGGGGTCGCCGGCCCGGCCCCGCTCATTCCCCGTTGCCTCCCAGTCCGGCGGGGACAAGAGCGCGGGGCTGGAGGAGAAAATCGCCTTGCTGCTGTACCTGCTGCTGGTGCTCGGCTGCTGCTCGGTGAGCCGCGGCTCTGGGGGAGGAGCGGGGGTCCGCAGCGCCCCGCTGACCCCCGCACCCCCCAGCTCCTGTACCGGCGGGTGCGGCTCCGCTGCCGGGGGAACGCGGCGCTGCCGCTGCTGAGCCCGGCCCGGCACGGCGGCTTCGGGGGCAGGAGCGGCCGCGGCGTCCGCAGAGCCTCGCTCCACTTCCAGCTGGTTTTCCTGCTCTGCTGGACGCCAGGCAAGGCCGGGGGGTGTCCCCAGCCCCGCAGGGTCACACTGGGGGGTGTCCCCAACCCTGCAGGGTCACACGAGGGATGTCCCCAACCCCGCAGGGTCACACTGGGGGTGTCCCCAACCCTGCAGGGTCACACTGGGGGTGTCCCCAGCCCTGCAGGGTCAAACGGGGGATGTCCCCAGCCCCCGTCCCCAGCCCCGCGGGGTCACACTGGGGGTGTCCCCAGCCCTGCAGGGTCACACGGGGGATGTCCCCAGCCCCCCCAGCCCCGCAGGGTCACACTGTGGGTGTCCCCAGCCCCCCAACCCTGCAGGGTCAACGGGGGATGTCCCCAGCCCCCCCAGCCCTGCAGGGTCACACTGGGGGTGTCCCACCAAGGAATGTCCTTCTGTGTCCCACCCACAGCCTTCCTCCTCACCATCCTCTCCTTCACCAGCATCAGCCCTGCCTCGCTCTTTGTCCTCTACGTGTCCACAGTGAGTAAAGCCCCTTCTCCAGGGCTCCCAGGCTGGACATTTGTCCCCATCCCACGTGGGAGCTGTGACAGCCCTTGGGGATGCCCCGGGCAGGGTGAGGACACAGCCTCGGGCCCAGCGTGGCTCTTCCCGCTGGATTTTGGGTTGGGATTTCACCCCTTGGCTCTTCCCGGGGGCTGGATGTGCTTTAATTTGCCACACCAAGAGGAAAGTCCCCCGTGTCCTGTGCCAGCCTGCCTGGGCAGTGCCCGCAGGGACCGGGGGCCCGACCCTCTGTCCCTGTGTCCCCAGGCCCTGAGCGTGTCCCTGCAGGGCTTCCTGCACAGCCTGGTCTACGGCTGGATGAGGGAGAACTTCCGACGGGAGGTGCTGGCCCGGAGCCCCTCCCTGCCGAGCCCCGCGGGGCTCAAGGCTTTCTACGACGATTCCCTGGGGGCTGCTCCCTGAGCTCCACCTCATCCCATTCCCTGGGGATTATTCCCTGAGCTCCACCTCATCCCATTCCCTGGGGATTATTCCCTGAGCTCCACCTCATCCCATTCCTGGGGGCTGCTCCCTGAGCTCCACCTCATCCCATTCCTGGGGCTGCTCCCACCTCACCCCACTCGCTGGGGGCTGCCCCAAGCAGGATTTGCACATTCCCAGCAGCTCAGGGGTCCTGGAATGGCTGGGTGGGAGGGACCCCGGAGCCCCTCGGGTGCCACCCTGCCCTGGCAGGGACACCCACGGCCCCTGGCAGGAGCCCCTGGGTGCAGCCCTCGTGCCCAGGGAGGTTTGGGGAGGGCACGGGGGGGCTGGGCAGGTCCCACAGCGCTGGGGGCACCTGCAGCCCCTCCCTGCTGGAGACCCCCAACTTCCCCCCCTGCTCTGTGCAGAAAGCAGATCCACAGGGATGGAGCACAGAATCCTGGAACCGCTGGAGGGGCTTTGAGGTCCCTTCCCACCCAAACCATTCCAGGACTCTGGGACACTGGGGCTGCAGGAGATGGGGTCTGGACTCCTTGGGAGGAATGCAAAGCTCAGAATTCATCCCTGGGGGAGAATTCCTGAGGGAGGAAGTTCGGGCTCTTGAGGAACAGCTACTAGAGATGGTGGAGTCCCCACCCCTGCAGGGACTCCAAGCCCTGTGGCACTTGGGGACAGAGCCAGTGGTGGCCTTGGCAGTGCTGGGAATGTCGGACTGGATGGGCTCCAAGGGTTTTCCAACCCAAATGCCTCTGTGATTCTGTGCCTTGGGAAGGGCAGAGGGACACACAGCCCCCCACAGGGGCTGTGAACCCTCTGGAAAACCAGGATGGCCACGAGTGACCAAGAGCAGGGACAACCCTTCCCAACCCAATAAACCTCCCCAGCCTCCAAACCAGGACCCAGTTTGGCTTCAGGGTTTTTTTTTAACTAAGATTTCCTACTTTACAGGAGGGTTTGGGGCCTGCACAGACACAGCTGGGACATGTCAGGATTTCCACCATCCCAAAGGACACTGCTCAGAACTCCTCACTCCAGCAGGGCCAGGGGCACAGAAAGCCAGCAGCCTCCTGCAGCTCCTGCCTGGCTCCAGAGGGGAAATTTGGGAAGAGGTCAGCCCCCTCTGAACCCCTCAGCCCTGAGAATGGGCAGGGACCGATGGAAAGAGCGCAGCTTCCACTGGGAGCACTGGGAGCTGCCCCGGATCAGGGCAGGAACAGCCCAACAATCCTACCACCTGCAGGGGTGCTGGGTTTGACCCCTCCAGGCTGCACATCCCTGCCAAACCCTTTATTTAGGATAATATTCCACCCCTGGATGGACCCCCTGGTGGTGCAGTGCAGTTTTGGAACACCAGTGCCCTGGTCCCAGAGAATCCCTTCCCAAGGCAGGACGGGGATCCCAGGCACAGAAATGCTCTGGAGGCAGGGGCAGAGCAGCAGGGCCCACCCCAGCTCGGCTCAGGCTGCACAAATCAGCTTCTCCAGGTTTTATTGGGAAGAGGCTGCCAGGAGCTCTCCCAGAGCCTCGGGCAGAGCCCCAGCCCCGCTGTGTCCTGGAGCTCAGGCTGGGTTTCCAAGCAGAATAAATAGGATTAGGGGCCAGCTCCTCCCAGCAGCCGTGTCAGGCACTCCGGGGAGCTCTGATCCCTGCGGATGCTCCAGCCCCTCCTCTGCCTCTGCCCTGGAAAGCAGAGCAGCAACTGTCCATGTCCAGCAACTCCTCCTCCTGCTCCCGGGCTGCCCAGGGGCAGGGACGGTACTGTCACCTCCTCCCCGTCCTCAGAGCGCCCTGAGCCCCTGCCGGGCTGCTCCTGCCTGTCCGGGCGGGATGGGGCTGCGGAGTGCCGAGGATCCGCATGAGGATGAAGTGTCCCGCAGCGCTGGGGTCCCTCCTGCCCGGCCGGTGCCACCCAGGGGCCAGTTCCGCGGGGACAGCCCCGGCCGGGCTCCGGGAGCAGGGCTCGGCTCTGCCCGGCGCGGTCCCGGTGCCATCCCGGCCGGGTCCGGCAGGGCTGCCCCGCGGCCGGGAGCGCGCTGGGACAGCCCGGGAAGGGTCTCCTGCTCCAGGAGCCCCGCTCAGGGGTGGTGCAGCACAGTCTGCAGGTCCTCGGGCAGCGAGCCGATGATGGTGTCGATGTAGAGGGCCACCCTCTGCAGGGTCTCCTCCTTGACGGGCAGGTGCTGGCAGCGAGCCCTCACCTGCGGGAAATGGGAATTAACACCTTCCCGGGGCCCTGCCCCTCTGCCGGGCCCTGCCTGCTGCAGCTCAGCACAAAAACAGGCAGGAAATGCCACCTGAGCCTCGGGAGGGAAAGAACTGCCCCAGATCCTCCCAGCTCTGAGGATTTCACACAAACACCGAACTTCAGTGAGCTTCCCAGCCCTCCAGGGAGGGTTTTCCAAGGCACAGGTGTGATCTGTGCTCTGGATCTCCCCAGCCAGAGAGGGGAGGAGTGCAGGGGCAGGGAGGCACTCACCAGCTTCTCCCGCAGCTTCAGCACCAGGTCCACGATCTCCACCTCGGACTTGTCCTTCATCCAGGCCACGATGTCCTAAGGAGAGAGTGGCTTCCCTCAGGGACACTGCCCAAGGGATTCCCCTAAGGAAAGCCTGAAGGTGAGCAGGGGGTTTCTCATCCTCATTCCTGAAACAGTGACAGAGCCCCTGCAGTGCCACCCTGCCATGGCAGGGACACCTCCACTGTGCCAGGCTGCTCCAGCCCCAGTGTCCAGCCTGGCCCTGGGCACTGCAGGGATGCAGGGGCAGCCCCAGCTGCTCTGGCAATTCCAGCCCAGCCAGCAATTCCTCATTGCCAACATCCCATCCATGGCTGCCCTCTGGCAGTGGCAGCCATTCCCTGGGTCCTGTCCCTTGTCCCCAGTCCCTCTGCAGCTCTCCTGGAGCCCCTCTGGGCCCTGCCAGGGGCTCTGAGCTCTCCCTGGAGCCTCCTAATCACTGAGTAAACCCAGCCCTGTCCCTGTCACCCACTGCCTCCCAGACACACCCTGTCCCTGTCCCAGCCCTGTCCCTGTCACCCACTGGTTCACGCACACAGCCCTGTCCCTGTCCCAGCTCTGTGCCAGCCCAGTCCCTGTCCCTGTCCCTGTCACCCACCGCCCATCAGATGGCCTCCAGGTGCAGGGCCTCGAGCTTGTGGCTCATCTCGCGGTGCCGCTGCCGGAACCAGCCGTCGAAGTTGGGGGACTTGAAGAATCGCCTGTGGAGGGGTCAGCAATTGTGATTCTGGGGTGCTGCAGCTGGCAGGGACCCACAGGGACCATCCCACCCACCAACCCCACCCTGCAGCCCACAGCTGCCTGAGGTGACCCTGGGGAGGGCTCAAGGGGACCCTGGGCTGCCTTGGGGACACACCAGGCATGGGCACAGGTGCCCAGAGCAGCTGGGGCTGCCCGCCAGGCATGGGCACAGATTGCCAGAGCAGCTGGGGCTGCCCCTGCATCCCTGCAGTGCCCAGGGCCAGGCTGGACACTGGGGCTGGACAGTGGCAGGGGTCCCTGCCATGGCAGGGTGGCACTGCAGGGGCTCCGAGGTCCCTTCCCACCCAAACCATTCCATAACTCTATAGTTATTGTTGCTGATCACTTTCTGGGATTTTTTCATTCTCTGTCTCTGTGCATTTCCCATTTTCCTTCCTTGGGTACCCAAATTCTGGATTTTTCCCACTCCTGTTGCACCAAGTGTCTTCTCCATCTCGTTCAGAACCAATTATCCAGGAAAACCCTGGAACAACTCCCCTGCAGGATCTCCACCCGTTTAAAGCACAGGAACCCCAGGGCTGGATTTGCCCTGGATTTGCTGTCCCTGACCAGCCTGAGTTAATCCACGGATGAGTTCTGCAGGTCCCACAGCTGCCCCTGGGCCCCAGTGGGGTTTGCTGCCCCTTGGGACTGGCCCAGCTGGGTGGGATCAGGACTCTCACCTGTAGAGCCCCAGCCAGTCCCCCTTGAGCACACAGGTGAGCTGGGGCCCGGCGTGCTCCAGGCTCTTCATGAAATCCTCCTGGCAGAACGGGCGGATCTGGGGGGGATTCTGCACAGGGAAATCCACGTTAGTCCACGGGAATCCATATCAGAGAACCCCAAATGGAACCAGGAAAATGAGGGCTGCACCTCCTCTGGGAAAGGTGCCCAAGGCACTGAGGATAAAAACACCCCAAGCTGATCCCCACATGAGATTCTCAGTAATTCAGCTCCTGGCAAAACTGGGAATAGCTGTCCCAAGAGTTCTTCCAAATTTTTAATGAATTTTTAAAGGAGTAAAACCCCTCTTCCTTCAACACGGGAGGTTCCCAGGAGTGTGCCCAGCACCCTGTAACCACTGCCAATCCCACAGGGAAGGAGGACTGGGAAGGGCATCCCACCTTCCACGGAGTGATGGCTCTCTGCAGAGGCATCAGGCTGGCCATGTAGTGCTCCTAAAACAAGGAAAGATAAAAATAATAATTTACATTGAGGAGTCCCTTGAGGTGCCCAGAGCAGCTGTGGCTGCCCTGGGTCCCTGGCAGTGCCCAAGGCCCGGTGGACACTGGGGTTTGGAGCACCTGGGGACAGGGGGAGGTGTCCCTGGCTGGCAGGGGGTGGGATGAGTTTAAAGGTCCTTCCCACCCAGGGCTCTGTCACAGGCACTGCTCCCTGTCCCCCCGCTGTCCCTGCACTCACCAGAGGGATGATGAAGCTCTGGGTGAGCTCCAGGAGGTGCCTCCTCAGCAGAGCACTCTGTACCTCCGAGGGGCGCTTCCGCTGGATGCCCTGGGGGGCACAGGGGGACATGGGGCACACAGGGCACATGGGGTCACCCAGGGTCATCCAGGGCACAGCCGGGTCACCGAGGTATCCCCTCACTGTCACAATCTGCGGCCGCGGGAGCCTGAAGTGCTCCCCAAACTCCAGATCCCCTAGCACAGATTCCACCCTTTACTCAAACACTTTAAAGTTTCAAGTTCCACTACACAAAACCTGGGGGTTTTTTTTCAGGGTTTTTTTAATATCAGTTATTCCTCCTCAGTCTATTGTTAGCACCAGGATTTAATCCTCAACATCAAGTGGAAAATCCTAAACCTGGCATGCTGAAGGTGTCCCAGTATGGACTAAACCACCCCAAAGTGTGAGTTCTGCTCCTCTGGGGAGCTGTGTCTGCCCAAACCCAGCTCCTGGCAGTTCCCAGCAGGACAGAGTGGGAGGTGCTTACCTTCAGCAGCCTTTTTATCAGGGTTTTGTCTTTGTGGAGGAATGTTCCCAGGGCACAGATGGGTCACACGGGGTCATCCAGGGCACAGCCGGGTCACCCAGGTATCCCCTCACTGTCACAATCTGCAGCTCTGCGGCCACGGGAGCCTGAAGTGCTCCCCAAACTCCAGATCCCCTAGCACAGATTCCACCCTTTACTCAAACACTTTAAAGTTTCAAGTTCCACTACACAAAACCTGGGGGTTTTTTTTCAGGGTTTTTTTAATATCAGTTATTCCTCCTCAGTCTATTGTTAGCACCAGGATTTAATCCTCAACATCAAGTGGAAAATCCTAAACCTGGCATGCTGAAGGTGTCCCAGTATGGACTAAACCATCCCAAAGTGTGAGTTCTGCTCCTCTGGGGAGCTGTGTCTGCCCAAACCCAGCTCCTGGCAGTTCCCAGCAGGACAGAGTGGGAGGTGCTTACCTTCAGCAGCCTTTTTATCAGGGTTTTGTCTTTGTGGAGGAATGTTTTATAGGAAGTGTAGATTCCTGGATGGGAAAAGCACGGGAACAGGAAAAAGCAGGAGTCAGAAATGGACACAGTTCCCTGCTCCTGATCCCCAAGGGGAGGGTCAGTCCTGAAGGATTCCTGAGGCCTGGACCCACCTGGTTTGGTGTCCAGGGTCTTCAGCTTGGCCAGTTTCTTCACCTTCACCTGCTTGGGCAGGTCTCCTGTGACACACAGTGGGGACAGCTCAGGCTCTGTCCCCTCCTGCTGGGACTGCACCTGGGGACACCCAGCCCTGCCCCTGCCCACCCTGGGAGCAGTCCCAGCTCCCTTCCCTTCTGGAATTCCGGGATGAGGATGTGCTAAAACCCAGCTCCTCATGCCCAGGGCTTCCTTGGCTTCCCAGCCAGGTGCTTGATAGAGGAGAGGAGGTTTCTCTCTCTCCATTTCCTGCCCAGGAAGGGCTTTTCCTCTCCAGGCAGCTCCAGGACAGCAGTTCCTGCTCCCCACAGCCTGCCCCACTCCGTGCTCATCCTGCACATGGCCACAGCCAGGGGTGAGCTCCTGTGGCTGCTGGGCCCTCCCAGGAGGGGAAATCACTGCCAGGGCAGCTCCCTGCAGCCTCCAGCTGCTCTGCCAGCTCCACAGAACCCTGGGCCAGCTCACCTTCCATCCTGAGCTCCCCATGCCCTTGAGCTTCCCTGACAGACACCCTGAGCTCCCCTGGCAGCTCCCCTGGCACCCTGAGCTCTCCCTTCACCCTGACCTCCCCTGGTGTAGGCACACAGTTTGTGGTGGCTGAGAGTGGCGCTGCCCCAGCCCCAGGGCACAGATGTGGGCAGCAGGAGAGCAGCACTGCCAGCAGTGAGCCACGGAGTGCCCAGGGGTGCTGAGCAACCACCCGGGGAGCAGAGGGCAGGTGTGTGAACAGGAGGGATGAAAGGGTGGTGAAGAACAGCCAGGGCAGATGCCTGCAGCCTTCTGGAGAGGTAAGGTGTTACTGTCTATGGAGGAATGCTTAAAGCTTGCACCCTGATCTGCCCTGGCAGGCACCCTGAGCTGCCCTGGCACCCTGAGCTCACCTGACATGCGGAGCTCGCCCACCCGCAGGATGTGTGGCCAGTGCTGCAGGGTCTTGATGAAGAAGGGGTTGGTGACGCCCACGACGATGTTGGGCCTGGAAGGAGGGGACAGGCTGAGCGCCGGTGGCTCTGGCTGTGCCTCGGGGGCTGGCAGGGCAGGGCAGGGGGCACTCACGGGGCCTGGGTGCGCGTGGTGTACTCCTTGAACTCGCTGTCGTGGATGGTGAAGTAGGGCCGGAAGTCACAGCAGTACCGCAGCGGGGCCAGGCAGCTGCAGGGACAGGCAGGGTCACCCGGGTGTGGCAGGGTCACTCTGGGCATGGCAGGGTCACTCTGGGTGTCTCAGGGTCACTCTGGGCACGGCAGGGTCACCCCAGCAGTGTCACGATCACCCCGGGCCAGCACAGGGGACAGTCCCTCCCCTGGCTGTGCCCACCCTGGGGCTGCCCAGCCCAGGGGCCCTCGGCCTCCTGCCCCCCGGCCCCCCTGGGCTCGTGTCCCAGCTGGCACAGCACCCCCAGGGCCTTGCCCAGCCTGGAGTGCTGCAGGGCCTGGGGCTGACCCAGGGCATGGCTGGCACCTGGCCTGGCTGAATCTCTCGGGGGAAGCTGGAGGTTTTGGGGTTAGGTGCTAAGGCAGAGCTCTGAGCTGGGGAGAGAAGGTTCCCCAGGGCTGGGAGCATCTGGGGAGATTCCTCTGTGCTCCTCTCTATCCTTGCTGGAAAATGAGTGTGGAATATTTGCAGTTTGTCTTGCAAAGCTTCCACGAGCAAGCTAAACTCAACCCAGGTGAGCAGCACAGAGTGCACGTGGGAGGGAAAGGCTGCCAGGATTTGCTGTCAGTTCCCAGTCCCTCACACCCCGGGGGTGTCACCTGGTGAGGGCCAGGACCATCTCTGAGGACATGGTTGGGGACGGTGCCATCACCACCATGGGCTCCCCCAGCAGCATCAGCTCCCACAGCATCTGGATGTGGATCAGCACTGGCTGGAAGCACCTGGGACAGTGCAACAATGACAGGGTCACTCAGGATGGAGCAGACACAGCCGTAGCCTGCAACCCCCCCAGGTGTGCTCCTGTCTGGGAATCTGAGCTCTAGGATGGACTGCAGCATTCCACAGGAAATTCACGTGTTTCCACCTGGGCTGTCACTCAATTGTTTCATACAAGTTTAAAGGAAATGCTATAAACAAAGTCAAACAATCTGTGATCAGAGTCATGGAATGGTTTGGGTGGGAAGGGAACTCAGCCCATCCAGTGCCACCCCTGCCACCCTGGGGCCTCCTCTGGGCTCTGCAGCAGCTCCAGGTGCTGCTGCTGTGTGCCCAGGGCTGGGGCAGCTCTGCAGGGGGGTCTCACCTGGGGGGCACAGGGGCAGGATCCCCCTGCCCTGCTGCCCACTGGGCTCAGGGCTGGGGGGCTCTGGGCTGGGTCAGGTCACCCCCAAATCCTTCTCCAGGGCTGCTCCAGCTGCTCGTGCCCAGCCTGGACTGATGCCAGGGGCTGCCCGGACCCAGGTGCAGCACCTTGGACTCGGCCTTGTTAAAGCTCAGGAGGTTCCCATGGACAGGGGGTGCTTTCAGTGTGCCTGAGACAGCAGCACACCCCTGGATTCCAGAGGATGGACACGGAAATGGCACCTCCAGGGCTGGGAGTGCTGGGACACTCTCCTGGGATCTCTGGCCAGGAGCTGCTCCCCAGACTGTGGTGTGGTGGGGGGACACAGCCCCTCTCCTGCCCCAGGGCTGTGCAGGGCACAACCCTCAGCTCAAAGCCTGCCCAGAATGCCAGAGGAGTCCCTGGAATGCAGCAGTGCTCGATTCTGCACCATCCCTGTGATTTATGGGATGCTCCCAGCAGGGAGAGGGCAGCAGGTGGAGGGGACAGGGTTGGGAGGAGCCTCTCACCTGAACAGATCCAGCTCATGAACACTGGGGAGAACCAGGGGGGCTGGTAACAGATTCTGGATGAGGAAGGGAGAAAAGGCTGTTAGTAGCTGTTAGTGAACTGTGAGGAGAGGGGAGAGCCTGGCTGGAATTCCACCCAGCAGCCACAGGGAACACAGGGAACAAGGCTCACACCCCGAGGTGTGCACAGGAGCAGGGCTGGGCACAGCACTCAACCCCAAACTGATTCCTGTGCTACAAACTAAGGCAGATTCCCTTCTTTTCCAGATGGGAAAGGCTGCCCATGCCTGCTCCTGTATTTTCCAGGGTTTCCTCTGGTGGAAGAGCGTTTGAGACACCGCAGAGCCAGCGGGGTTAGAGATGTGGCACCAAACCATTGTTAGTCACAGCAGAGAAAGGGAAAGGGAGGGAATCCAAACCAGAGCTGAACCAAAACACTGAAGCACATTCAAAACAACTCCGGGGTGAAGGCAGGAGACCCAGCATGCCTGACTTCCCAGGACAAGCAAGGGAACTGTGAGTAAAGCACCCGGAGTGGGTGCAGAGCCCTGTGGGACTCCAGGCAGGAGAGCCTGGCGTGGAACTGCTGAGACCACACAGATCCCAGGCCAAAGGGCTCCAGCAGGACTGAGGAGCCAGCCCCTCTCACCTCCTGGTTGCACTGCTTCACTGGGCTGGAGCCTGGCTTGTCCACCCGGGACGGGATCCTCACCTGCAGGGCAAGGACAGCAGGGATCTCACTGGGGTGGCACTGGCAGGGCAGAAACTTCCCAGCCACCAATTCCAGCTGGAAAGGTTGTGGGGAATGCGGGGTGAGCAGGGATTCCACAGCCAGCACCATGGAACACAGGTGCCTTCCCTCTGGCACAGCCCGGTACCTGGATGACAACTCCCATCACGGGCAGGTTCAGGGTCTGGCCAGGCACTGGGGGTGGCCACTGGTCGATCTCGTTGCACACTGAGGGACACAGGGAAGGGAAGAGTTTCACCTGAGGGAAAACCCAGCTCATCCTGGCATTCTGCAAGGGAATTATTCCCGGTTCCCAGCTCACACACCCCCCTGGCTTGTGGCAAACCCAGAGCTGATAAATCAGGATGAAATGACCCAGGCACAAAAGGCCTGATGGAGGTGCTGCAGATTCCTGGCGTTGGGAATACCCTGCATTCCTTGGGAACACCCTGCATCCAAACTGAGAGCCCCATCCCTCCCTCCCCACAACCCCTCCTTTACAGCTGGTTACCCACTTGGACAAGCAGGAGGAATCTGTTCCCTGCTGGAATTTGCTCCAGCATGAGGCCATTTGGAGCATTCCAGCTGTTTTCCAGGAACCTCCCCATGCAGCCCCTCTGTCCCAAGCTGGAATTCCTGCCCCCAGCTCACCTGCCTCCAGGCAGGGCTCCAGCTTGTCGAAGTACTCCGGAGCAATCAGCTGCAGCAGGCACTGGAACAGGTTCACGTAGGGAAGGCGGGACACCAGCACCAGGGACTGGGAATGGCAGTGTGGGATCAGGACCTCCCTGACCCCAGCACTGCACGTCTCTGGACTGCTCAGAGAGGGATGAACTTCAAAAACCCAACACTAAATGCACGGAGCAGCTCCCAAGCAGCACTTGGGTGGAATTCTTGCTGCCACCCGCTCGTGAGCCAGGGTTTGGGAGAGCAAAGGGATGGGAGCATGGCCTGGCAAAAGAGCAGCTGGACAGGGAAGAAAAGCCAATGGCTGGTGGGTTTAAAGCTGCCAAAAACCATTTCAGGTGGAGAAGCACAAAGGAGAGACTCCTGAAATGGGAACTGGGCAGATAAACAGTCAAGGAATGCTGGGGAAGGACAAAGCAATTTGGAATAATGAATCATGTCCAGGAAAGCCTTTTTTGTTCTAAATGAGGCTTCCTTGTGAAATAAATCCCTGCTTTTTACAGCTGCCCCAACCGAGCCCCACTGGAGGTTTCATTGTTACGCTGACTCTCCTCTTCTTCTAGCCATTAATGAGTGCATTAATTAGGAATGCAGGAGTCATTCAAACAGCTCCTGTCCAACCCCAAACTTGGCCATTTCAGTGAGGTTTGGAATTCAAACCTCATCCAAGTGTGATAATTCCTTCCCTGAGCAATCCCACTGTTCCAGTGGAAAACTCACTGGTTTACTGGGGATGGAAAAACTGATTTCTGCCTTAGCAGGAGTCTGAAAGAACTCCTGGAGGTGGAGGGCACAGAGATCAGGACACTGCTGGGACTGAGATGTCCCTGTGGACCAGAACAGGACAAGGGGGAATGGCCTCAGGCTGGGCCAGGGCAGCTCAGGGTGGGCACAGCAGGAATTTCCCCCTGGAAAGGGGTCAGGCCTTGGCAGGGGCTGCCCAGGGAGCTTTGCAGTGCCCATCCCTGGAGGTACCCAAGGAATTCCCAGAGGTGGCTCTCAGGGCTCTGGGCTGGGGACAGGTGGGCATTGGGCACCGCTGGGACTGGATGGGCTGGGAGGGCTTCTCCAGCCCCAGGGATCCTGGGATTATTCCAGACTCAGCACTGACCTTCTGGAAGTAGCCCCTCCTCATGGAGCTGTCCTTGACCTGCCGGAAGTACACGTACCCGAAATAGTGAGCAGCCTCTCGCTGCAGGGACAGACGGACAGGGAGGGACAGAGGGACAGACACAGGGAGGAACAGAAAAAGAACAGAGACAGACAGTAAGGGACAGCCCAGCCCCACTGCCACAACCCCTCCTGAGCCACCCCCCTATTGTGACACATCCCAGCCCTCCAAGAGAGCTTTCCATGGGGACACAGGGAGAGACAGCTGGAGCCAGGCTGGAGAGCTGGGGGTGCTCACATGGACAGGAGAAGGATCCAGGGAGAGCTCAGAGCCCCTGGCAGGGCCCAGAGGGGCTCCAGGAGAGCTGCAGAGGGACTGGGGACAAGGGACAGGACCCAGGGAATGGCTGCCAGTGCCAGAGGGCAGCCATGGATGGGATCTTGGCAATGAGGAATTCCTGGCCCTGGAATATAATTCCCAGAGGAAAATCTGTGGCTGCCCCTGCATCCCTGGAATGTCCAAGGCCAGGCTGGATATTGGGGCTGGAGCAGCCTGGGACAGTGGGAGGTGTCCCTGCTTCAGTTCCCAAAATAACTGGGGTCTCCGAAATTCAGTTCCCTCTCCCAGTGGAACTGGGGTCTCCCTAATTCTGGTCCACCTCCCAAAATAGCTGAGGGTCCCCCAGGTTCAGTTACGTTCCCTCTCCCTGATTTAATTCACTCCTTGATCCTCCTGACCCAGTTCCCTGTCCCAGCAGTTCCCTGTCCCCTGATCCCATTCCCTGTCCCAGCAGTTCCCTGTCCCCTGATCCCATTCCCCATCCCAGCGGTTCCCTGTCCCCTGATCCCATTCCCTGTCCCAGCAGTTCCCTGTCCCCTGATCTCCCTGTCCCCTGATCCCATTCCCTGTCCCAGCAGTTCCCTGTCCCAGCAGTTCCCTGTCCCTCTCCCTCCCTGTGCCGAGCCGTTCCAGTCCCGCTGTCCCCTTGGCCAGGAGCAGGGGGATGTCCCCGGGAGCCCAGGGGCAGGACGCACCTGCAGCGCGAGCGGCGCCTCGCGGTTGTACCTGCCGTCATCCTGGAACGGGGAGCTGCGGGAGCCCCCGGCCTGGCGCAGCCGGAAGCTGAACTGGGTGTCCCCGAGGCCACCTGGGACAGACAGCACGGACACGGGGACACTGAGCTGGGAATGGCTCCAGCACAACGGGATGGGGCCACGGGAAATCCGGCAGGGAATGGGGAGGGACGGGGAGAAACCGAAGCAGGAAAATCCAAAAGGGAGGGGAAAGGGAAGAAAAATGGGAAGGAGAAAGGAAATGGAACTCTAGGAAAAACCTTTTCCCTGGGAGGGCAGGCAGGCCCTGGCACAGGTGCCCAGAGCAGCTGGGGCTGCCCCTGCATCCCTGGCAGTGCCCAGGGCCAGGCTGGACACTGGGGCTGGAGCAGCCTGGCACAGTGGCAGGTGTCCCTGCCATGGCAGGGTGGCACTGGGGGCTCTGGGGTCCCTTCCCACCCAAACCATGCCAGGACTCCATGAAAATGCAGAATCCCTTAAAGCCCCAGGGCCTGGCTGGATGAGCAGATTTATTTCTCATTATCCCTTTGTGAAGTATAAACACAGGTTTGGGGACATTTCTGCTAGAAGTGTCCCCTCTCCTGCTGTCAAACACAGGAATGTGACAGCTGCCACCCCTCCTGGCCACACTGGGAATTTCCTTGGAGCACAGGTTCCCCCAGCAGAGCACGGGGACAATCAGCACGGGGTGCTCCCGTGCTCAGCGCCAGGGTGCTCCCTGCAGTGCCCCCAGCCCTGCTGCACCCCAGGGATTGTTCTGCCACCAGGGACACTTCTGTCACCCCCGGAGTCACCCACCTGAGTAGGAGTCTGGGAAGGACAGGTAGCAGATGCTCGTTTTCTGCAAAAAACCAACGCCAGTGAGACCCCCGAGAGCTGCTGGCACAGGAGGGAGAAGGGGAATGAAGGGTGGTTACCTCCTTCTCGGTGAGCCTGAAGTCGTGGGGATACACCAGCTGTGGAGAGAGCAGAGCCTGTCAGCCCCTGTGCCACAGCTCCACACACAACTGCTCCCTGATCCCAACAGATCCCTCAGGAAAGCACCCGGGATGATTTAATCTTGGACCTGTCACTGAACATGGTTTATTTGGATTTCTGGACAGACCCAAAGGCTCCTGGTTTAGATTTATTCCTGACAGCTGATGGCTGAGTGAATGAACAGCCCCAGATCCTCTGGGAGCATTCCAGATGTGCAACATCTGTTCTGTCAGGAGCAGGACGGGACACACAGGAGGGACAGGGTGCAGAAGGAGCTGGGAAGGAGCAGGGGGGCACCAGGAGGGTTCAACAGCCACGGCTGAGACAAACCCCACAGGGAGGAACCCAGCAGTGCTGCACTTGGTAACCTTGCAGGGCTTCTCCAGCCTGGCTCTGTGCTTCTCATAATTCATGGAGACCACAGAGTCAGGGAATCCTGGAATGGTTGGGTGGGAAGGGACTCAGAGTCCCCCTGGGGTCCCGAGGAGAAGGGTCCCACAGAGCCCCTGCTGAAGTGCAGGAATGGCACAGGAGCAGAAAGGAGCGGGCAGGGCCGGGCTGAGCCGGGGCTCTGCTCCCAGCCCCAGGAGTTCTGCTCCAGAGGCAGTGCTGCTCCAGCCAGGAGCTCACACCATGCCTGGCTCTCCTCTCCAGGCTGTAAATAGCCCGGGTGGCCCCGTGCCAGGGGCTGGGAGTTCACCCAGCTCTGACAATTCCCGCGGATCCCTTGGCGAGGGCAGCGCTCCAGCCAAATTCCCAATTAACAGCGCTGCTGATGAGCCCTGCTGGGAGCTGAGCTGAGAGAAAAGGCACGAAAATCCCGAGGCAAAACAAAAATCCCGAGGCAAAGCAATCACTGAGCAGCTGCAGGGAGCGGGCAGCCTGCAGAGGGAAGGCCGGGATGCTGCAGTGGGAAGGGATCGGGATTGCCCCAGGGCATCCATCACTGCCCTGCTCCCCTTGCTCTGCACCAGGACCCCCAACACACCCTGGGCTTGGGACTAATTAACCCCCACCCAATTATCCTGGTAATTCCAGGGAGTCATGGCCAGGCCAGGGAGCCCTGGACAGCTGATCCTGCTCCATCAGCAGCCTGTGAATCCCAGGAATTGTGCTTTCCTCGACATTTGCTGCCTATCTCAGAGCAGGAGTTGGGATGAGGCTTCTGCTTCTCCTGCTGGATTTTGTGGGGGGCTTTCTGCAAGAGAACAGTTGGAAAATCAGGCTTTAACCTCCAGGGCTGGAATTGATCTCAGAGGCCTTTTCCAACCTTAATCCCTCTGGGATTCCACATCTCTGCTTCTCCTTCACTTTAACTCTAATGTTTCTCTATGTCTGTGTGCGGGGAAATCACCAAACATCCAAAAGTTCAAAACCTCAAATCCAAGCCAAAAGGAATTGTAACTTTTCACAAGCCAAAAAGAGGCAAGTGAAAAGGAAATTAGGATGTGTAGAAGTCCCTGGATGTCTACAGAGCAGCCCAAAAGGGCTTCAGTCACATCCTAAAGTGTTTATTTGGTTATTGAAGGTGGAGGGGCCAGAAACAGGAATTCCATTTAACTCCTGCCTTGATTTGGGTTCTGCTTTCCAACAGCTTCTCCACTGTCCGTGGAAGCAGAGTGGGAATTGCTGAACTCCAGGATCTTTGGGCTCTCCCTCACAGTCTCCTGAATCTCTGAATCTCCCAGAGCTGAACTTCAGAGCCCTCCAGGTTTGTACCCACAGGGACCCCCTGGGTTTGTATGGCCAGACCCCCTAAACTGGCACCCTCAGAGCCCCCCAGGCCCCCACAGCTTCTCCTCTTCCCGGCTTCCCTCCCCTTCCCTCTGGAACAGAAATCCACACGGTTTTTCCAAAGGAAGGGGGACAGGGGGCTGTGCCATCCCCACTGACGTGTGCCCAGTTTCCTAAGTCATTTGTGCCACATAAGGAACATTTTTCCACTGAAACTTATGCAGGCAAAGGGACAAAAGGAAGGAAAAGAAGGAAAATTCCTTTCCAGGGATGAAGAAACAACATTCCTGCATCCCTCATCCACAAAGGCTCCTCCTCAGTGAGGCAGACAGGTGAGAACCCACCTTTACACATCAAAACCCCACTACAAAGTGTTGAATTCTGACCATGCTAATTATCACCCCAGTATTCCTCCCTTCCTTGGGGTATTTCAGGCCTGGTTTTGCAGGAAAAAGGATCAAACAGGTGAAACTCAGGTCTGGAGATTTTTTTATTCACTTTGAGGCTTCAGGGAAAAAAATAAAAAACAAGTATTCCAGGCAAGGGAGCAGGAACAAGGTGGAGTTGGTTCCTCCTGCTTCCCATTCCTTTTGGAAGCTCCAGCATCTAAAACAGGGAAGGCTCAACTCTCTGAAAAGCAGAGCAATCTCCCTAAAAAGGGCAGAGCAAGGAGTGACTCCCACAACCACACAAGAAATAAGAAGGAATTTGAGGTGATGCCTGAGGTTCAGACAAATCCACACCTCCCTGCTTTCCTCAGAGAGCAGCCCCTGAGGAGCCCAGCTCCCCCAAACCCTCCTGCAGGACCAGCACTGGACATTCCAGGGAACTGGGAACAGCCGTCCAGCCCTTCCCACCCCTATGGCCCCACAGGGGGCTCAGCTCTGCTCCAGCCCAGCCAGGGAACTTCCCTGGAATCCTGCACGGACACCTCCCTGCCCTGGCTGCTGGGAATTTGTGCCTTTGGAATCCTGCAATGGTTGGGTGGGAAGGGAGCCCAAAGCCCTGCAGTGCCACCCTGCCATGGCAGGGACACCTCCACTGTGCCAGGCTGCTCCAGCCCCAGTGTCCAGCCTGGCCCTGGGCACTGCAGGGATGCAGGGGCAGCCCCAGCTGCTCTGGCAATTCCAGCCCAGCCAGCAATTCCTCATGGCCAACATCCCATCCATGGCTGCCCTCTGGCAGTGGCAGCCATTCCCTGGCTCCTGTCCCTTGTCCCCAGTCCCTCTGCAGCTCTCCTGGAGCCCCTCTGGGCCCTGCCAGGGGCTCTGAGCTCTCCCTGGAGCCTTCCCTTCCCTCCCAGCCCGGCTCCATGGGACGTGTCACCCTGGGCAGGTTTTATTCCATGAAGAGGATCCATAAAGGTCTCCTGGATGCTTCCCTGGCCCCTCCCTGCCCTGTGCACCCCCCACCCCACAGAGATCACCCCAAATCTCTGCTCGGGCCCCCCTCCCCTCCCTGTTCCCTTCCCCACCCCAACCACGATCCGGCTTTTCCCTCTCCATTCCCGATCCCGCTTTCCCCTCTTCACCTCCCCGTTCCCGATTTCCTCTCCCCATTCCCGGCCCTCAGCCCCAGTCCCTGACTGCCCCTTCCATCCCCTCCTCTCCATCCCGGCTCCCCTCACAGCCCCGCTCCCTGACGCCCGCGCGCCCCCCGCTCGCAGGCGCGGCGTGCCCGTGCCGGGCCGCACCTCCATGGCCTGTCCCAGCTCCAGGTCGAAGGTGACCACGCACACGCAGTCGATCCACGCGGCGAAGCGGCCCCAGGGCAGCGGGGAGGCGGCGGCGGCGCGGCGGGGCCGCGGCCCGGCCCGGCTCAGCGCCTCCATGGC